ATAAAGATATTAAACAGTACTGGTCCCAATACAAACCCCTGAGGGACATCACATGTCACTGATCTCCATCTGGACATTGAGTCATTGACCACTACCATCTGGATGCAACCATCCAACCAATTCCTCATCCACCAGACAGTCTACACATCAGATCCATATCTCTCCAGTTTAGAGAGAAGGATGTTGTGGGGGACTGTGTCAAAGGCCTTACAGAAGTCCAGGTAGATGACATCCATAGCTCTTCCCTTGTCCACTGATATAATCATGCATCATAGAAGGCCACTAGATTGGTTAGGCAGGACTTGCCCTTGGCGAAGCCATGCTGGCTTTCTCGAATCACCTCCCTGTCCTCCATGTGCCTTAGTATAGCTTCTAGGAGGATCTATTCCATGATCTTCCCAGGCACAGAGGTGAGGCTGACAGGTCAGTAGTTCCCGAGGTCCTCCTTTCTATCCTTTTTATAATGGGAGCAATGTTTCCCTTTTTCCAGTCACCAGAGACTTCGCTGGACTGTCAAATATCATGGAGAGTGGCCTCGCAACTACATTAGCCAGTTCCCTCAGGATTCTGGGATGCATCTCGTCGGGTCCCATAGACATATTTATATTAAGGTGGTCTCAAACCACCTTGAGAGTAGTCACCTTCTTTGGAGAGTGAGCATGGTGCGTAAATGTTGTGATAACTGGCTATGTTGTTTCATCTGGCCCCAGTGACATGGAAAAGTCCCTTTCCTTACTACTGAGGGCAGGCTCACCAGCTCTGAAGGATGCATCTGGGTGGCCTAGAGTAGGTAAATACAGACTGGACTGTAGTCCCTCTTTGAAATCTGCTTCATATTATATTATCCCATGGTTTTAGAGTGCTGCATAGCATAGATTCTGTCCTCTAGTGCTTTCTGTAAAACACATTAATGAGACCCGATTAATAATGATGAGTCTGCTACAGTAGTTAAGCCTCAGTTCAAAGTAACGTCTTTCATCTTCAAGAAATTTTTTGGTAGAGCTGAAACAGTAAAGTGTCACAGTTCCAGGGATCAGACTCTTTGATAATGAGACACACAAGTAATTTGCCATGATTCATTAATAAACAGCTTTTTCATCATTGGTCCAGTGTTAGTGATTAAGTGATATACTTATTCTTTGATTAAATGTTTTCTTCCAACTTGCCAAAGTTCTTGCAGGTTTCTATACATCATTATTGTATCTGCGCTGTTCTCCAAAGAACTAATTTACCTGATTATACAGCTGAAAGTTTCTATAATTCTAAAAACCCAGGTGTTCAAAAACTTCCTTTTACTCTCAGACAGAATTGTTAGACTTGCTTTTGCTACTGTGAAAATTATAACCAAATGCAAAACCCAGGCAAAAATTTAGAAAGCATAGACCATCCTGTAGATAAAAATGAAGGACAAGTACATGGATACTGCCTATTTTTTGTTTTGCTAAAATAAATCTCTCCTGAAGACATGTTGCTTTCCAAAAGATGTTTAGTTTTACTGTGCTGTCTGCAAATTAATTAAACAGCTTATAAGGAAATTGTCATACATGTTTATGCATAAATATAGAGGAATAATTTCTTCCCTTCTGCTTGTTTGCAGTATAGTGGGTTAGTTCCACGGGAGAGCTGGGACATGTGGCATCCAACCCTGGTGGCTGAAGCCCTGTTTGCAATCGCAAACATCTTTAGCTCCCTACGATTGATCTCATTATTCACTGCAAATTCTCACCTGGGACCTCTGCAGATATCTCTAGGAAGAATGTTGCTGGACATTTTGAAGTTTCTCTTCATATATTGCCTTGTGCTGCTAGCTTTTGCAAATGGATTGAACCAGCTGTACTTCTACTATGAGACAAATGAACCCGGCAACTGCAAAGGAATAAGATGTGAAAAACAGAATAATGCTTTTTCAACGTAAGTGGCTGATCTATTTCTATCCTCCCCCTCTGCCCCCAATATTTTAATCACTTAGATGTTGTTTACAGGAAAGATACTGTCTGTTTTCTATTGGTATTACAGTGGTGTCCTGACAGGCACATCCAAAGTTACTCTAATAAAACAAATAAATAGTAACATTACATGACTCTGTAATAATGTTCATCCCATACCACCGTGAATTCTATACAATTCAAGATATCTCAAAAGATAAAATAAAGAGGAGGGGGAGGCAATATAAGATTAGAAAGTCTGTATTTAGAAGTAAGGGAAAAAAGGTCACCAGATCAGAGCATGCCTATCCCGGAAGCTGTCGCTCTGCATTTCTTCTGTATCTACTTGTGGGCATTAAATAAGTTTGATGTTCTAAAACATGAAGATTCCTTGTAAATGTGATAAACTGAGGCAGGAAGAACCATTCAGTCCAGGCTTCTATTGACCCTGAATCTACTCCATGCAGTCAAATACTGTATTCTAATTTCTGGTTTAAAGTTGTTGGGTTTTTTTCACTTAAAAATCAATTTGATTTCACTCTCTTCTGTAGGTCATCTAGAGTACCAAAACACTACTAAATGAACATTAATTCTCTGTCTCATCTTTCAACTTCCAATCTGATTCAAACTCCTGCTGTAAATACCTGTTCCCTATTACCTTCTATGAATCATATGTAGGCTGGTTTTAGAATACATTTATTACTGATGGCTTCATTCTCAAAGTAAATAATTTTATAAAAATAACACCTTTTGTATCATCTTAATCAAGTAACTTTGCCTAGGCACAGCATATTTATCTTGCATATTAATAATATCCTATACATGTCTAAACTTTGTGTGATCTAAACAGAAAAGCTCAGGGAAATGTTTAAGAGCTGAACATTGAGGCAAGCAATATTATTCCTCCAGGAAATAGTTGGAACTACTGGTACTAGTGCCAGAAGATGGTTTCAAGGCAAACTGTGATGCCTTATGAGCCTTTTCTGCAACCGCGAGCAGGGGAGAGTAGTGGTTGTTCGGTTTGTGCTCAGGCAAGTGCAAAGCATGCAAGAGACTCCAGAGCAGTACTTTACCACTCATGTACACTGCTTTAAAGGAGCAGACAGTCAGGACCTAGAGTTTCTATAAGTAAAAGCATACTGCCCTCTCAGGTATCTCTGTAGGACAACACTGTACTGGGTTTCATGACCAAGTTACATTTCACAGATGATACCGCAGGGTGGCAAAGGGTCCGAAGTGTTAAGCTTTGCCTGGTTCTGGGCAGCGGGTCCCAACGTGCAGGGCTGCCCAGGGTGGTACAAGTCCCAACAGTTCAGCAGCCTCCTGGCTCTGGGTGCAGTGAGGACAGTGCTGGTGGCCCACACGTCCTGTCCGGGTAACCTGCTTCTGGTGTTGGGGTGAGGGAGAGGAGAGAGGCCATGGGGAAAACTCACTCCAATTCATCTCAAGATATGGGACCAGACAGGAAGAAAATTTTGCTCCAAACTTTTCAGGAGCAACTGGGCTAACCAGAGTGCGTGCTTATGACACACAGTGTAGCTGAAAATTGTACCAAAGTGAAATTATGTCAGGCTATCTAGTTGCAGAGGATTTTTTTGAAGTTGGTTATTATTTAGCTTCCTAGCCATTGTCCCAAACTTCTCTAAGGCAATACCATATCATTTAGTTATAAAAGCACATTTCATCTGAGGGTGTCATTTTGTCTTTTTAATGTCTCCATTCTTTGCAAAACAAAACATATGCTAATGATAATAATGTCCTAATTATACAACTCCTTTTATCTCAATGGCTCTCAACACAAACTAGAAATTGCATAAACTGACAACACCAAGTAGGTATGAGGATACCATAATTGTTTTAACATCTTGGTGAAACACAATCATTAAGTTACTTTTGGATCTTTGTTCTACCCTCTACAGTCAAGGCAAATGGTCAAAATACTTCAAAGGCAGGTGTCCAAAATAAGATCTCTAAAACTATATCTATCCCTCAGAAGTTTGAGCAAAATCAGCCTTTTACTCGCAGGCTTATTTGTAGATTCAATATTGTATATCTAGAGGCTCAGATTTGAAACATCAAGCCATTGTTTCCCTAGATATATATTCCATATATGTTGCCTATATTGTGGTAAGTATCATTCATCTCAATCAAGTCAAGGACTTTTTTGTGTTTGGGGTAAAACTGAACAATCTGAAAAGTACATATGTTGTTGTCATACAGCTATTCCATTTGGATTTTGTTTTTCAGATTATTTGAAACGCTGCAGTCATTATTCTGGTCTATATTTGGACTCATCAATCTCTATGTGACCAATGTGAAAGCAAGGCATGAATTTACTGAATTTGTTGGGGCCACCATGTTTGGTACCTATAATGTAATCTCTCTGGTTGTTCTACTCAACATGCTAATAGCCATGATGAATAATTCTTACCAGCTTATTGCTGTAAGTTGTTCCTTATCCTTAGATCATTTATAATATATACCTGCTCTCTGTTCATACATCCCATTTTTCTGGCAGTAGACCTTTTTTTACAGACAGAATATTGGAACATATTCTCTGATTTGCTGTAATTCTTTTGCACTGTTCTGGAAGGACACAGAAACCAGACCCCAGCTGGACTGGAGAGAGGGGAATTTCCCTATAACTCTGAATGGGGAAGAGGTGGCCCAGCTGCAGAAGCCAGCTCATGGGTTGAGAAGGGTGTCCTGAAGCTGCTGGCAAGTGACATGGGCTACAGCCCTACCCAAGCTGCACTGTGCAGGACCTCTCCTGAGAAAGAGACTCTGGCAAAGATTGTTCTGTCTCTACTTTATTTTTAATACATTTTATTTATTAACCTTTAAAAGGCTGTTATTTTTGGATTTTTATACAGAGTGAATATACAGTTAATAGAAATTGGATGCCCTTGTTTCATGGACAATTTTGGACACATTAGAAATTCAAACAAAAGATCATGACTTCTCATTCAGCAGTGTCCTGTTTTCTCCTTTGATGAAAACTCTCTTTATCTTTACTAGAGCTATTGGCTTATTTTTATTTCTCAGCTGTCTATTAAAAAGACTAATGAAAGTAAACACTGATTCAACATATGATAATTCAAATATGATTATGCAGAAAGCAAACAAATAAAAGACTTTACAGCTGTAAGATTTTAAAATGTGCCTTTTTTCTAATCTTGAAATTACAAGTTTTTCCACAAAAGAAATACTGACTACCTGTGTTTCTATAAGGCTAGTTGGCAATGTCTGGTACACAATATCACAACATACTAACATTCATCAAAACTCAGACTGCAGGTAGAATACCTTTCCTACTGCAACTTCTACATTACTATTTTGATTACTGCATATCTGGCTAAATATTAAAGGCTAGGGCTAGACCTATAGTTTAAGTTCTTGGCTACTGTGCTTGTCCAAGCCTAATATTAGTGATTTAAACTTCTTGTTCAGCTGCTAGGATTTAGCAGTCTCTCCATCGAGTTTAGTTTTGATTTTTTCCAAACTTTTCAAAATTATACAATATTATATAGAATCCAAAAGAAATAAAATTTCAAATATTTTTTTAAAAAACAACCCACAACCTATTCCAAATATATAATTCTGAAGTAAGAGTAAAAAAAGATATCCAACTCAACAGTTTTAAGTAGCCTCATGATGAGTTGGATAACCTATTTGTGAATTTCTGGGACTGACAATTACTAAGAGAGTGCATGAGACTTACAGACTTGTTGAAGCTGCTACACAGCAGAGTAATTAGAGTGATCTATGTGGAGCTGCTATTATAACAAAACATCTCTTTCAAAAATGTAGCATTTTTCTGCTTGTAATTATCCTTTGTTGTTTGAGAGACTTTTAATTATTTAAAAGTCTGTAGCAAGGAAAGAAAGGTTGAAAGTGGATATATACTGTACATGTCTAACATCTCTTAACTGAAGTAAAGCAGTTTAGCTTTGTTTTGTGTTAAAGACCTTCAGTCAAAAGAAGATGCCGGTATTTTAACAAGAAAATTCATTAGTATTTCAGGGCTGTTCCAGTTTTAGGTTTTCAGATTTTTGTAAAAGTTTGTTTCACCTCCTTAATTACAGCAACACCTGTGCTGGTGTGTTTCTTGTGTGCAGGATCATGCAGACATTGAGTGGAAGTTTGCTCGAACAAAACTCTGGATGAGTTACTTTGAAGAAGGAGGAACTCTGCCCACTCCTTTCAATGTCATACCAAGCCCAAAGTCTCTCTGGTATCTGATCAAATGGTTATGGAGACACCTTTGCAAGAAAAAAATTAGAAGAAAGCCTGAAAGTTTTGGAACAATAGGGGTAAGTCCCGTGTTTCACTCTGCCTGTAGTCCTCCTCTTTGCTATATAGATGAGTCTTTCTCAGCCTTACAGAGCATCCAAACTGTCAAATAATGTGCCTATGAGTTAGAGAATAATTCTAGCAGAGAATATATATTTTTTACATTAATGTAAATGTATTTTGACTTAAGAAAAAGCATCATCATATTCTTGTGCAATGACAATATGAACCATGATTGTGCTTCATCTACAGATAATGCAAGAAAGATAAAAAGCAATACAAATATGAGAGATCAAATGTGTATTCTTGTCTACCAGTCCCAGGGGTCTGGTTGATGATCTCTAACTCAAGTGTCACAGTTGAAGTATCATTGACATATCATGAACCACAGACTGGTGTATAAAGTATTCCTCATGGGATATTCCTTTACTCTCTCTCTCTCTCTCTCTCTCCCCCCCCATGTAATGAAATGGGTTTACCATAAAAGCATTCTTACCAAAAGCTGTTCTCATTAAAGAAAACATTTTGAAAGTTAATAGCATTTACTTGGAATTGCTTACTTGAATTTACAGGTAGAGTTATTTTAGAATCACATTGGTACCCTATTCTAATAGTGCTGATTAGCAGTGAAATTTCTAGGAAAAAAGAGAGGGAAAGACACACAATGGGAGCAAGAATAGTCCTGCACCTGGATTCAGCAGATACGTGTGTAATATCTCAGCCACAGACTTTCTCTGGTAGCTGCAGTGGGCAAAGAAGATTTCAGTTTGTCCCTCCTAGCTTTATCGAGTTGAGATAGCTCAGTCAGCAGTACAGTTTGTCTGTATTGTCAGAGGAAATATCCAGGCAACAACCTAACCCACCAACTAAATCTCTCTAATTTTGTTTTCTGCATTTCACATAGTGAGCGAGTCAGTACCTCAGTAACTAGACTGCATTTAGCAGATTCCAACATAAATAAAACTATTGTAGGTAAAATGTGGATAATGGTACTTTCCCTATACCATAGGGATTTGATGAATATAAATGTTTTCAAGTCTATTAGGAACTCAGAGAGCAAAGCATTAAGTGAGAGTATGAGAGTGTCATGTGTGGGTGAGGGGAGGAAGAAAGGGTTATAATTCTCATGCTGTTGACCCTGGTAGCAAAATGTCCATTCATTTCAAAGAGGCCAGGAGATAAGATATAATTCTTCGCTGGACCATTACTCAATCAGCCTTTTATTTGTATTTCTTCCCAGTTTCTTGAGAAGTGAGTAATAAGGATAGGCTATACGTATATAGTATAAACAGTTTATGTAGGATATATATGTGTATATATATGTATATAGTGTGTATATATGTATATAGTATATAGAGTATATATAGGATATATGATAAAGTGGAAGAGTGACATAAAAACTAGTTCACAATTCCTACGCTGATTTTGTCCTCTTTGTGGAAAGCTTCTAATCAGGCTTATTGCAATATCCTGATCTTGTTGGCCAGTATCTACCTTGTGAAAGGAAAATATGCTTCACTTAGCTGTCATACTTGTAGATAGGAAAGAAACAACCAGAAAAGGAAGCTTATAAGCATGAGGATGACATTGAAACAAACCAGTAATAGACTGTGAGAAACACAGAAAAAAACCCCATTAAAATTAATATTAGAAAAGCAGTGAAGAGAGATAAGCAGTTATTCCGATAGAAATAAAAATAAAAGACAGGATCTGATCATGAATGGTGAAGAACTTCAAGAATAAGAAATTACTGTGTAACCTAGCAAGGAAGAAAAGTAAATGCAGACACCAATTGAAAGAAAAACTGTGAGATTTTGTTAGAAAGAGAAAATAGAGTGGTGTACTTGTGTGTGTGTGTGTGGGGAAGAGTGGGCAATGCTTCTAGGCATTTGTTAAACATTTGGTAGGGATGATTAGCTAGTGTAAACTGATAGAGTGATATTGAAATTAATGGAGTGATGCCAGCATATAGCAGCTGAGGATCTAGGGTTGGTTAACACAATATCCCTGTTTGGCTGGGACAGATCCAGAATACCCTTATACATCTCAGCCAAACCTTCGGGACAATATTTTCTGTCAGACTTTCCATCCAGGATAAGGTTGGGTTTTTTTCCTTTGTTTCCCTCTCCAACTGCAGCTCTGGGAGTAAACTCATTCCTGGCTCTGTGGAATAATAGAGAAAGAGGCAGGGTGCTCTCAGCCTCATGCTAAATGGCATGGCGAGGAACGGCATTCAGAAAGATCACCCCCTGGTTCCTGCAGCTACCTCCTGTTGGGGTACATAAATACCAGCTCCTAGAAATTAGCAGCTTGGGTTTTGGAAAACTGGTTCAGCAAAGGATCAAAGGGCAGGGAGTCTATACACAGACTAGGTGGGAAACTTTTCCAAATAGGTTTCTGCAGGGTTTTTTTTAATGAAAAAAATACAAAATCCTTAACCCCCAAACTTTTTCAGTAATATTTACCAATTTCTAAGAAGCTTTTATTGGGAAAGACTTTTCAGCTTCAGGATGGAATTTCTGTTTGGAGAGAGAAGGAGCAGGTGCTAAGTAAAGCAAATAGCTTGGGCTATGGGAGACTCAGGTTCACTTCTATTCTCCAGTGGATATTTAATTCTTTACCTCAAGCAGAAAAGCTCTGACAGTAGAGATTTCAATCTCAAAATCCTTAAGCCCCTGGGGATGAAAGTGCTCTCTTGGGAAAACAGAAGAGATGGAGCTGAACCTAGCTTCCCTATTACTTGAATGTGAACCACTAATTACTGAAATGTTTGGGAGTGGAGGACATAGATGAGGGAAAGATGTAGGACATTTTTGTTTAATTTCTGTAGAGAAATTTTTTTTTAAAATGGTTTGATGAGAAAAAGTGGAAATCCCAAATTCTGTGAGACAATAGACCCATATCCATCACTAATTTCCGCTACAGAATAGGCACTTAGCTGCAAGTATAGCTGGAAACCCTCTGAAGCAGAGGGCTCACCATTCAAGCAACAAGACTTTCAGCTGCCGGTGAGTGGCTGTGGCTGACTAGGCAGACTCAGTCCACACATCTGGGCATCTCATAAAACTTGAAAGTTCTTCAGCTAGCTCCTCAGCTATAACAGAAGCCCCATTAGGGCTTACCTGTATTCAGAAAATTTTGCAATTTCTAGGCCCAGTTAGGCACCTGAGCTCCAAACTGGGATAAAATGTGGGTATGCACTATGCGCTCTAATTTCCACATTAGGAAAATCTGTCCATACCCATCAGAGCATGAGAGTCTCTATTCACTCCAGCAGTCAGATCTACACACAGTTTGCGTAGATGTAAACCAGATGCTGCTCACTGGATTTTCCCCAAGAGGTGAAATCATTGGAAAATGAATGGGCACACCATGGTTATCTCACAGTTTGTCCTGGGGGAGTGTGCTGCTTTCTGGTTTTGAAAAACTTATTCTCATCACCCACAGTGCAGCCTGGGATTCCCAGTATTTCAGTTGTCCCAACAAACTGCATGACAAATTAAATTTAGAAACTCTATGCCCTTACAGCTGAAGGGAAATGGAGAGTTTTCCTTGCCCTTTGTTTGGAGATCTCAGCTGACAGATCTCTGACTTCAGCTCACTGGAATCTGTCCTGTAAGAACTCTGGCCTCAGAGCTACAAGATCAGCTTTGTTGGGACCTACCTCTTTTCATTGAATCCTGCATTATGAACTCTGATTCCTTTCCTATGACCAGTACTGGGGAAAAAAACATTATAGACTCAGTTTGAGGCTCATTTGCTTACATTGGCTATGTGGATGTATTGGTGCCAGGTTGTCTGTAAGGCAGAACTCAGATTTCAAAACATTTTGTTCTGAAAACTCTAAATACTAACTTTCCTATTAGGATGCTTTTATCAGCAGTGATGTACTATGGTGTTTTCCAGTAGAAAAAGCAATAGTGTGCATCCAACGGCTGAGTCAGTGCTAGAGGATACAAAACGAATCATAGAATATCCTGAGTTGGAAGGGACCCATAAGGATCATCAAGTCCAGCTCCGGGCTCCACACAGGACCAGCCGTTGTCCAGACGCTTCTTGAGCTCTGTCAAGCTCCGTGCTGTGACCACTTCCCTGGAGAGCCTGTTCCAGTGCCCAACCACCCTCTCAGTGAAGAACCTTTTCCTGATACCCAACCTAAACCTCCCCTGTTGCAGCTTCATGCTGTTCCCTTGGGTTCTATCACTGGTCACCAGAGGGAGGAGATCAGCGCCTGCCCCTTCGCTCCCCATCGTGAGGAAGCTGAGGCCCACGAGAAGGTCTCCCCTCAGTCTCCTCTTCTCTAGGCTGAACAAACCAAGGGACTTCAGCCTCTCCTCATACGTCTTCCCCTCTAGACCCTTCACCATCTTTGTTGCCCTCCTTTGGACACTCTCCAATGGTTTTATGTCCTTTTTGTACTGTGGCGCCCAAAACTGCACGCAGTACTCGAGGTGAGGCCACAGCAGCACAGTGTAGAGTGGGACAATCACTTCCCTAGACTGGCTAGCAATGCCATGCTTGATGCACCCCAGGATACTGTTGGCCCTCCTGGCAGCCTGGGTGCACTGTTGACTCGTGTTGAACTTGCTGTCGACCAAGACCCCCAACTCCCTTTCAGCATGGCTGGTCTGCTGCGTCTCATCGCCCAGTCTGTATGTATAGCCAGGGTTGCCCCTTCCCAGGTGCAGAATCCGGCACTTGCCCTTGTTAAACCTCATGCGGTTGGTGATTGCCCAGTTCTCCAATCTGTCCAGATCTTTCTGCAAGGTCTCTCCACCCTTGACAGAATCAATAGCTCCTCCCAATTTGGTGTCATCCACAAACTTGCTCACAACACTTTCTAGTCCTACAGACGATAGACAGAATACAGCTGGCTTGTTAAAGACAGCATTTTTTAAGGATCAGGCATTATATCTGCGTAAGAAACCTTAGTACCAAAAACCAGGAATCATGACCTAGGAATGAATCAAAGATGTATTAAATGCGTCACCCACAATCCACTGTGTGTGTGTATACAAGC